GACAACTCTTGGTGTATGTGCCAAGACTACACCAACCTCAACAAACATTGCCCCAAGGACTGCTACCCTCTACCAGTCATAGATCAGATGGTGGAAGGCATCGCCGGATACAGAGTCCTCAGCTTCCTCAACGCATATAAGGGATATCATCAAATCCTCATGGCACAGGAAGATGCAGAAAAGACAGCTTACATCACCGAGATAGGGGTATATTGCTACGACAAGATGCCCTTTGGACTGAAAAATGCAGGAGCCACATACCAGCGTCTCGTAAACATAACCTTTCATGACCAAATCGGCCGGAACATCGAGATTTACGTGGACGACATGGTGATAAAGACAAATAAGGATAAACAAGTGGCTGCAGATATGCGAGAGATTTTCACAATATTACGCAAAATTAATATGAAGCTGAATCCAAAAAAATTCACCTTCTGCGTAGGGTCTGGAAAATTCCTAGGATACCAAGTCTCCAAGGATGGAATAAATGTTGATCCAGCTAAAATCGAGGCCATCTTAGCCATGGAAGCTCCAAAAACCGTCAAAGAAGTTCAAAAACTCACAGGCTCCTTGGCAGCCTTGAACAGGTTTCTGTCTCGAGCTGCAGAGGGAAGCCTTCTATTTTTCCATACCCTCCGCAAGGGCAGAAAATTCGAGTGGAATGCAAAATGCCAGAAAGCCTTCCAAGACCTGAAGGAGCAACTCAAGCAGTTGCCCACACTAGCCAAGCCTGAGCCAGGAGAAACACTATACATTTACCTGGCGGCTCGAGAGAAAGCCATCTCGGCCGTGCTCGTGCAGCGCAAAGACGGCAGAGAAGTCCCTGTCTATTTTGTTAGTAAAGTCTTGCAAGGAGCGGAAACCCGTTATACGCCCATGGAAAGGCTTATCCTCAGCCTAGTCTTAGCCGCCCGACGTCTACACTCGTACTTTCAAGCACACCCTGATATGCTTATATTTTACCTATTTATTATATCCCTAATTTGTGATTTTTGCAATATATTTTGAGTACAAATATGCTATTTATGTGATTTTATCTTTAATTGTAGGAATTGTACTCAAATGAAGAATTGTTGAAGTTTTGAGCTAAAATCAAATTAAAAGCAACTCAATGGGAAAGAATTGAAGATTGGAGCAATTGATGGGGAAGAAATTAATGAGTTTAGAGAATAGGAGGGCCGATGATGCAATTTTGGAATTTGATTCTTGTTTTTGGAAAATTGGCCGAGAAGCTTATGGTTATGCGGCTGATTTCGGATTGGAATTGGATAAGAATTTTAATCCCGATATTATTTGGGAAACAAGTTTTCTTGTTCTTCAAGGAGTAGGGTTTAGCCGGAAGCCTATAAAAGGAGGATTAGGGATTTATTTTTACAAGAGAACTAAACCGAAACTTGACCGAAAACCACTGAACTCCCTCCTCCTTCACCCGGCCATCACCTTCTTCCTCCATCACCACCGAAGCAGCCGGCCACCACCTTCACCTCCAGCACCTCACCTTAATCATCATCTTCTCCACCTCTTCACCATCGAGACCGCACCGCCGATTGCTTCCATAACCTCCACGCAGCCCATCATCACCGAACGCCACCATCTTTCTCCTCCACGCAGCACTTCTTCTCCTTCCAGCTCCACGCCACCGAAACCCACCGGAGCTCCTCTCTTCTTCCTGCTGCAGCTCATCATCACCGAACGCACCCACCACCGAAGCAGCCGAGCGCCACCTTGCTCCCTTGCCTTCGCACACGCAGCAGCAGCATCAACACCGAAGCGAGTAGCAAATCCGGGGAGTTTTGTGTTTTTGGCTTCATTCGGTTTTGAAGTTTCAAATTATTTAATTTATTTTTTTCTTTTATCATGTCTCTAAATATTATTGAATTATTTTTAATAATGTTTAGTGGCTAAATTCTTTTAGTCTAGGGCTTGGGTGTAGCCACCGAATTTATTTGGTTTATTTGGTTCATTATTATTTGACTTTTCCATTAATTAATATTTGTTATTTTTGTTTTAATTCGTGTAAGTAATTGGCCACTATTTGCATGTCTGAAGATACTAATTGAAGTAGCGAGAGTGGAAGATTAGTACTAGTTCGTAGGAATAATAAACTTAGGTTGTAAGCTACGAGAGTAAGATTATAACCTTTGCAATATTTGATTCTTAATGGTCTTAATGTGCTTTTGTTAATCCCTATAGTCGCGAGAGTAGTCATAGGGTTAATCTAAGTAAGAGAATTATAACACGAGAGTAAATAGTTCTTAATTAGGTGAATCGTTGTGAGATTAATGGAAGTTAAAAGTCAAATACTTATGAATTGAACTAAACTAAATATTCGGTAGGTGAACCCAATGTCCTAGGTTTTCTTTGTCTGATTATTTGAATTAATATTAATTGCTTTTATTTTATTTATTTTAGTTTTAAATTTTATAACTCTGAGATCACCATTTATCTAGATAATAATAGGAGTAATTTATACCTGGTAATTAGTATTCCTTCTCTGTGGGATCGACCCTGCTTGCTACTTTACTACTAGTAATTGTATTAAGTAGGTAATTAATATTTGACTAGTGTGACGACGGCTTGTCACACCCAATCATGGTTTTAACGGAACAACCAATTCAGCAAGTCCTACTCAAGCTAGAAGCGTCCGGCAGGATGATGAAATAGCCAGTCGAATTGGGCGACCACCACATTGAATACAAGCCTCGATCAGCCATCAAAGGACAAGTCTTTGCAGATTTCCTAGTAGAAACGCCTCGAGCTATCGAGGTAAAGGAAACGGCGGAGCCTAAAGATGACCCCACTACTCGCGTCAGCACCAACCCTCGAGCCTGGTCACTATACGTCGACGTCTCTCGTTGCGATGAAGGGGGAGGAGCCGGTATCATATTATCCAAACCTCCAGCTGATCCCGACATCGAGAGCATGAGGGAATACGACGCAGAATATACATATGCACTAAGGTTCGGTTTCCCAGTCACCAACAATGTAGCAGAATACGAGGCATTGATAGTAGGACTGAACATGGCACTAAAGCTCGGGGTCCGCAAAATCCAAGTTTTTAGTGATTCTCAGGTAGTGGTGAAACAAATATTGGGAGAATACACAGCAAACGACGAGCAACTCAAGCGCTACCTCGAGAAAGTTCTCGACATCAAGGACAAGTTGGAAGAATGCACCGTGTGCCACATAGTCCGCTCAAAAAATAAAAGAGCTGACGCCCTCAGAAAGCTAGCCTCCTCAAATTTTGCACACCTTAGCCACAAAGTATGGGTTGAGATTCTCCCCAATCCTAGCATCCAGGATGCCCACGTAACGGCCATAGTCGAGGACGGTAACACTTGGATGACCCTGTTTATCCAATACCTTACAGATGTGACGTTGCCAAGCAGAAAAGCAGAAGCCAGAACCCTCCGATTGAAGGCGGTCAAATACACATTGCGAGACGGCATCCTATACAAGCATGGATACCTACTACCCATGCTAAGATGTATTGGCCCAAAGCAGGCTGCCTACGTACTCGAAGAAGTACATTAGGGATCGTGTGGAGCTCATATGGGAGCAAGAGCACTAGCCAAGAAGGTCTTGCGAGCAGGATATTTCTGGCCGACAATTTTCAAAGACGCCTACCAGTGGGTACAGAAATGCGAGAAGTGTCAACGTTTCTCTCCCATCATCCGACAACCACAGCACGAGATGGTTACCATCCAAAGCCCTTGGCCATTCTACCAATGGGGCACTGACATCATCGGCCCCTTTCATTCGGAGGGGGTAGGAGGAGTAAGATGGGTCATTGTAGCAGTAGATTACTTCACTAAGTGGGTAGAAGCCAAACTCCTGGCCTCGATCACAGGGAGGAAAGTCTTGGATTTTTTCTGGCAGAACATAGTATGCCGTTTTGGAATCCCGAGGGTTATTGTCTCCAACAATGGGACCCAGTTCGAGAGCAATACTTTCAAGTCATGGTGCGATGAAATCCAGATCGAGTGCTGCTTCTCAAGCGTAGCTCATCCCCAAGCTAATGGGCAAGCCGAATCCATCAACAGAACAATACTTCATGGGATCAAGACCAGATTGTATGACGCCAAGGGGGCATGGGCCGACGAACTTCCCCACATCCTGTGGTCATACCGTACAACTGCCCACTCCTCGACCGACGAGACACCATATATCCTAGTCTACGGCATGGATGCCGTCCTCCTAGTTGAAATAGGCTTGTCGAGTCCTCGAACCATAAACTTCGTCGAAAGTACCAATGATGATGACATTCGGCTAAACCTTGACCTGCTCGAGGACCGTCGAGACGCCGTCAGAATCCGAGAAGCAAAGTATAAAGAGATTCTATGCAGACATTACAACAAGAAGGTGAAAGCCACGGATCTCGCTGTGGGCGACCTCGTACTAAGAAAAAACGAGGCCAGTCGAGCAGAAACTCCTGGAAAACTCACTGCAAATTGGGAAGGACCTTAAAAGGTTATTTAGGCTTCCCCAGCAGGCAGCTACCGCCTACAGGTCATGGATGATAGCGGAACTGTTCTTCCTCGATGGTGGAACATTCAGAATCTTTGCAGGTTCTATATTTGAGTCTTTGTCCGCTATTTGCCTATTATGTGTTTTATTTGCTTTATTTACCCAGTCAGTTTTATACTCTCATATGTAATGCTAACCCGGGTCCTTGGGAAATTATTTAATAAAAGATATTACATATTCTTTTCATTAACAAGCAATGCATTCATGACTAGTCATCGAGATGCACTCCCTCTTTAGGGCCATCCTCGTTCAAGAGCCGTGTACTCAATATCCGGACACAAACTCGAGGAATTTTCCTCACACACACTGCTGAACACAGTGTCAGATCAAGGAATTCGTACCCAATTCCTATGATAGAGCCGCGTACTTTACATCCGGCCTAAAAAAGCGCTTTATAAATCAATACTCGAGTAAAATAAACAATAATTCGTTCCACACTACTGTGCGAACTCGCAGAAAGTACATACATTCTCCTACACTATTACAAGGACCTCCCTGATAGGATTGTCGGGGGAGGGATGAATAATCCCCTTATATCCATGTAGGCTAACGAGATTCACACATTGATTCAATTTATCCTTAAGGTCCACGATCTCTGTGTCCTGAGCATGCACCCTCATCAACAGCTCTTCTCGAGAACTCCGAGTTCGAGGATCCACGGTTTCCTCTGGACGCTCGAACACCTTGAAGTCAATGTTGTTATCTAGTAGTAGATTTTGCAGTTCGGCAATATAGTCTGTAAGAAGCTCGATCTCACGAGATCTCTCTTTCAGTATATCCATGGCTGCGATAAAACGGCGAGTCCTGCCCATAATCATGTGCTGGACTCGGGCTAACACTTGGTGCTTCTCGAGAAACCAGGGAGACACAGTAATCTGCTGTCTTGCCCTAAGCCGAGCATTCTCTTTCTCCAAGGTAACCAGCTCATCGTGAATCTCGGCCTCGAGAGTCAAAGAATCACTGTGGTCTTTCAGGCTTTGAACATCTCGACGTTGCATCTCCTCGCGGAGTCCTTTAATCTCGTTTATCAGATACTGGTTAACCTTTACATTGTGCGTCCTAATTGCATCGAGCAGGTCATTCTCTAAGTGTGCCACCGTCTCGAGGCTGTGCACATCAGCACGAATTCTCAGAATCCCGCTAATCATGGAATATAATGGGAACTCCCTCGATTGCTCCTCCGACAGCACCATGAGGTGAACACGGTGAACGGTCCAACTTTCCTGTTTCACCAGAGGAGTATAAGACACTTACATCAAACCAAAGAGAAAGAAAACAGAGGACAAAGAAATGGAAGAGAGAAAGATGCTTGCATAAAGTCGTAAACAGACGAAACAAAGAAATTAGTCCATTACAAAGAAAAGGAGTAGTTTAAATGGCCTCGCAGCTATTACAAGGGGCAGGATTCATACAGCATCACTGCCTTGAGGAGGGTCCTTGGAAGGTCCTTAGAAGGGTCCTGGGAGGCGTCCTCGACAGTTCTCTGGACACCAGAATGGCCGGTGTCAGCAACGTCCTCCTCGGTGGCTTCATCGGCGTCCTCGAGCTCGATGCCCATGTATTCGTCGGGTACCTCGGGTATAGGGTCTTCCTCACTTGGACCCTTGCCCAGGATAGTAGGAACGTCGCCTGGGAACGAGGCAATCTCCGCAGGGGAACTCATCTTCGCCATGGCACCGGTTAAAGCTCTCCATAGAGGAAGCTGCTCGAGGCTCAACTTTGTCAAGACCTTTACCATGGCTTCGTGCATGGTTTTCTTCGGGTCCTTCATCAGGAGCTGCTTGAACCATTTTGCCTTAATCGGCCTGTCCTGGTCGAGCCTCTTCAACTCTGCCACGCCAACTCGGTGCGCTCCGCACTTGGTGGCAACCAAGTTCATCTCCTCGAGGGCTACAACCATCCCTCCTGTAGACATCATTTTATTCATGAAGGTCGTACACCACTGATGTAGTTCCTCCTTGGAAATGTGCAGGCTAGCAAACGACTTCATCTTCTCGTCAAGCTCATCATATTTAGCCTGCACCTCGACAATTTCAGCCTCCTTAGCCTGAACTTGGCGAGCTTTCTCCTCGAGGGTAACCACCTCGAATAACGCCTCGTCCTTTTCCGCCCGAGCTGTAGCCAGGTCTTCTCGAAGCTTCCTTAACTGCACTAGGTAGGCCATTGAGGCCGCACTTTTCTGAACCAACATAGCATATCAGGAACACATTGATATACATATGCATTTACAACCTAATCTAGAAAATGACTTACCAGTCTCAGGCTGTCGGCTTCATTCAGCTGAGTAACGAATTCCTCGAGAATAGGACACTCGATTGACGGTGGGTTGCTAAAGGTGTGAACTACCATAGACGAGCCTCCCTCGAACAGCTGAGGGGGCAAGACTATTGCCTCTCTCACGAGGGGCCCTTCCCTTTCTCCGCCACGGGGGGGAACTATGCTTGGCCCTGCTTCCGGCACAGGTTTCTGAACAGACTCAGTGCCAAGGGGCACCATCTCGATACCCAGCTGTGTGGTTTCCTTCGAGGGCGCATCCGTCTTAGTTTTCTTGGATTTCGCCCTATCGCCCACCTTCACGATCCTCTTCTTTTTCTTCTGAGGGGCAGCAGTAGCAGTGACGTCCTCATCTGAATTCACAATGACAAAAGAATCTTCGTCACCAAACAATCGAGACCCAGCATTGCTCGACGACATGACCTAACAACAAAGAAGAAAAAAAAGAAAATGATTAGTACCTTGATCTTCTTCAACAGAGATTTCGAGAGAAATTCTGGTTGCTCCCTCGATGTTGATCGTATCACTTTCCCTCGCATATACAGGAGGCACATAATATTGTACGTCGTTCCATTTAACGACCTTAGAATATTTCAGAATTTTCTCCACATCTGCCTGGAGCCCCTCGACGCACTCTTCATCCTCTTGGGTCCATTCGTCCTTTATGGCCCCGAGACCCTCTGACTCTTGGAGATTCCATGGTAAGCAATAACTCGAGGGCGCCTGATATGCTTATATTTTACCTATTTATTATATCCCTAATTTGTGATTTTTGCAATATATTTTGAGTACAAATATGCTATTTATGTGATTTTATCTTTAATTGTAGGAATTGTACTCAAATGACGAATTGTTGAAGTTTTGAGCCAAAATCGAATTAAAAGCAACTCAATGGGAAAGAATTGAACATTGGAGCAATTGATGGGGAAGAAATTAATGAGTTTAGAGACTTGGAGGGCCAATCATGCAATTTTTGCAATTTGATTCTAATTTTTTGGAAAATTGGCCGAAGGTTACGTTGGTTATGCGGCCGATTTGGGATTGGAATTGGATAAGAATTTTAATCCCGATATTAATTGGGAAACAAGTTTTCTTGTTCTTCAAGGAGTAGGGTTTAGCCGGAAGCCTATAAAAGGAGGATTAGAGATTTATTTTACAACAATCGAACCGAAAACGGCGAAAACCTTACGGTTGCAAAAATATTCCACCTTGCCGCTGCAAACCAATCCACCGCCGACCTCCTTGCTCTCCTCCAACGCCACGAAGCAGTCGGCAGCACCATCATCTTCTTCATCCACGCACCGCCGATTGCTTCCATAACCTCCACGTAGCCCATCATCACCGAACGCCACCATCTTCTCCACCTCTTCACCATCGACCGCCGAACCACCGAATTCCCTCCTCCTTCACCGAAACCTCCATCTCTGCCCATCTTGCTCACCCGCCGCACCACCATTCACACAGCAGCAGCACCATCTTCGTCCTCCTCCACGCACCACTTCACGCACCAGCCGTAGTTCACCTCTTCCGAAACCGAGACCACCGGCGGCAGCTTCTACTCTTCTCCACAGCCGAGCACCACCTCTGCCTCTTCACCGTCGACATCACCTTACTCCCTTGCCTTCGCACACGCAGCGGCAGCATCATTGATCACCGGCGAAGCGAGTAGCAACCGTGGGGAGTTTTGGCGCTTTTTGGCTTCATTCGGGTTTCGGGTTTTAAAGTTTAATTATTTAATTTATTTTTTTTCTTTTATTATGTCTCTAAATATTATTGAATTATTTTTAATAATGTTTAGTGGCTAAATTCTTTTAATCTAGGGCTTGGGTGTAGCCACCGAATTTATTTGGTTTATTTAGTTTATTATTATTTGATTTTTCCATTAATTAATATTTGTTATTCTTGTTTTAATTCGTGTAAGTAATTGGCCACTATTTGCATGTCTGAAGATACTAATTGAAGTAGCGAGAGTGGAAGATTAGTATTAGTTCGTAGGAATAATAAACTTAGGTGATAAAGCTACGAGAGTAAGATTATAACCTTTGCAATATTTGATTCTTAATGGTCTTAATGTGCTTTTGTTAATTCCTATAGTCACGAGAGTAGTCATAGGGTTAATCTAAGTAAGAGAATTATAACACGAGAGTGTATAGTTCTTAATTAGGTGAATCATTGTGAGATTAATGGAAATTAAAAGTCAGATATGTGTGAATTGAACTATACCAAATATTCGGTAGGTGAACCCAATGTCCTAGGTTTTCTTTGTCTGATTATTTGAATTAATATTAATTGCTTATATTTTATTTACTTATTTTAGTTTTGAATCTTATAAACCTGAGATCATCATTTATCTAGATAATAATAGGAGTAATTTATACCTGGTAATTAGTATTCTTTCTCTGTGGGATCGACCCTGCTTTCTGCTTTACTACTAGTAATTGTATTAAGTAGGTAATTATTATTTGACTAGTGTGACGACGGCTTGTCAGCGCCTTTACCAATAAAAAGTCCGGTTTCCATTCCGGAGAGCCGCCATATGCCTTGACCATCTTCTTCACGCTGGCTCGAAGGCGTCTTTAAACGATATACCAGTCCTGGAAAGAAGTCGAGGCCACCACTACTTGGAAGAAATACCTCCACAATACTAACCGAGGTATTACTTTTACATGTTGGCATATTCTCGCAAACCCAAGTATAAAGGTAATTAAATTTGGGGTAAAACGAGTGAGAGGAGTCCTATAGTGTTGCACAATCTCCTCAAACAGGGGGTAGAGGGGGAATCTAAGCCCTAGATGCATGAATCGGTCATACACGGTAATTCTTCCCCCTGGAGGAGAGTTAGCTCTCTCGTTTCCTAATGGGGCTCTCGCCTCTAAGGCGGAGGGGAGGTCATATTTGGATCTAAGGTTCTCTACCTTATCAACCGAATCTATGGTGGATACAAAATCCAAAACAGTTTTTCCTTCGGAATCCCTAACCATAATTCTGGCAAGAATCTACTCTGGCTACAACAGGAAAGGACAAAAACTTGGAACAAATCGGATATTCAGATCTGGAAACTTACTATGGAAGGAGGACGTGACCACTCGCCTTTCGAATTATAACTCCCCAGCGTTATTCAGAAACTCCAACTAATAACTCCCCCGAGAACAGCGTCGCTGGGGCAGTGTCTCAGGCGAAAGCTTGAAAATTCCGATTGGAAAAGGGGGTTAGGATGCTCTGGTAAAGAAGAACTCTTTAAGGACTGGAATGCTTTAGCAGAGGAGAGAACTTCGAGTTATTTGCAAAGAAGGAAAATGATTAAGTGCGAAGGGGCGGTAGAACTTTCTCCTTAAAAACAAAATTGATTCTCCCACGTTTCTCTAATTATGGACCACGATACGACAGTTATTGCGGATTTCAAGGGAGTAATGATGTTGAGGCCGCCGTTTGTGGAACGTGCCCACTAATAACGCATAGTTGAAAAGTTGGCGGGATTGAGAAGCGGGTCGTCTTCCCGGGTCAAGACCTGACCCGCCAGTTCCTCTTGATCCTCCGAGATCGAGGGTCATGCGTTAGCATCGAGCTCGTTTGGCATGTGGCTCGACAATTAGCCAAACGAGGGTAGTCTGTCCACTCTCAGGTATGTCTCAAGTAATACTTATTTTGTACCAAGCGTTGTTTACCTTTACACTAACACTTGGCAGGGGCACTTGACGAGTCCGTATCCATCACCGAGACTGGACCGGCCAACCAACTGTAGAAAGAGTCCAACCGGGACTCTTAGGGCGGTGGAGATTCCTGAAACCTAGTTGGATTCGGGAATTGCCCAGGTAATTTCATACCTATAAATAGGGTAGCTCATACCACGGTACAGGTACGCAATCTATAGTTTAACAAACGATATACCTAAATTTTCCAGCAACCCTTTTACTGACTTAAGCATCGGAGTGTCTACCCTCGGGAGACCCCGAGGTCCTATTTTGCAGGAAACCCTAGCCGGAGTTCCACCATTGAACCGGCGGTGCGTATCCAAGCGTCGTCAATAGTAAAGACGAAACCCCAACTTATTGTACTTTTGTGATAACTAAATGTTCAACTAATGATGTCAGGCAATAACTCTGTAGAATAGTTTAGAAATACATCTGAAGGTAAGAGCCAGTTACTTGATTGAAACACCAAGTTGTGTTTGGATGTAGTATTATATAGCCACTTTCTATTTTACATTCTTTTCATCTTCGATTATATTGTATGGTAGTTCTTTTAGACACAACAAACAGAAGTAGACTAAAATATATTCATCATGCGATATTAGATTTCTTTTTATTCTTTTTTCACTTGGGATTACTTTATTTTATTAAAACTTCTTTTTTCTCTTGTGATCGAAAGTGAAAATTGAATTTTTTTTAGAAAAAAAAAAAAACTGATCTAATTCTATATTTTTTTATTTTTCAATCAATTTTCAATTGTGTAGTAAATAAGGCACACGCGAAGCTCGTCGAATCTAACTTGCTTATCTTCAAGAGTAGTTAGTTCTTTGTATTCATAGACTTTGGTAGCACTTTTTTTTTCTTTGTTGCTGCGTCACCAATAAGGATACATGAAACAAAAAAAAAAATGAATGTAGCCTATTTTGCAAAATTTCAAAAGATGAAGAGAAAACAATGTCCCCAATTTCAAATATGGTAGAATTAAAGTGTGGCCCATGTTATTTTGCAATTATATATGCTGAAATATTCTTTGTTTGGTTCTGGATCAGCATGTGATATTTTCCTTACAAGGAATTTTTGCCTTTGATTTATTTGTTATGGTCCTAATTTTTTTGTTCGGACAAGACTAAACATGTTCATCATGATTATTAATAATAAAAATTTGAATAAATCTAATTATATATTAATAATTCAAAGTTTGGAATTAAGCAGAGACTTCACGTCGAGGTCAACACGCATGAAGTTTTTCCTATATTTTTTCATTTTAACAATAACTTGCACAAAGAAAAAAAAAAAAAACGCTCACAACCTTTGTTATCTTTTACCAATATCATCTAAAGTTCTTAAATATTTTTTTTGTTCTCCCTTTTATACAGCACCCACACAACGTGTGCGACAAAGTCTGGATCGAATTATGGCACATGGACTTAATTACTACTAATTGTAATTTTAAGGACTTTGACGTTGAAATAGTCAAATATAGTTATAAATTTGTTTGCATGACAAAGAATAAAGATTAATATGATTATATGAGACATGATTACTTTAGAACAAAATCTAATTTGATTAGATAAATGAAACGTGATTGTGCAGTTTGGAATATTGTATGTAAAACACCAATTAACTTTTTATATTTAACTTTTACAATATTTAGTTATGTGGTAATTGAATAAGTTAATTTGATAACGTGTATAATTGCGTAGATTGCCATGTGTCAAGCATAGGAGAAGATACAATTGAAAGGACTGTATTCTTATATAATGCACTACAAGAAAAAAGACATAAAAAGGCACTTCTTAGTGTCTTAATAAATAATCTACGGTGACATAAAACTTTTAGTGGCATTGTTTCATTATGTGGTATATACCAATGTCACAATAGCATTAACAGTTTATTAAGGCAATTATAAGTGTCATGAAAATCCTTCTCTTTTCTAACTGTCTAGTAATTTTATAATTAATCTTTTTTATGTAATTTTCCTTTTACTATTTGACATTTACGTTTATTAATTTTTTTTTTACTACTTGTGTGAGGATATCTCTTTAACTATTTACTGTTTAATGACAATCAAATGTCATCATAAGTCATTTTATAAAGGCATTTCAAATTGCCTTTTAATATCTGCAAATATGTACACAATCCAATTTTTTTTTTACTACTTGTGTGAGGATATCTCTTTAACTATTTACTGTTTAATGACAATCAAATGTCATCATAAGTCATTTTATAAAGGCATTTCAAATTGCCTTTTAATATCTGCAAATATGTACACAATCCAATTTAAAAAAGACGCAAGATTTGCAATAGAATTTAAAAAATGATGCTTTGTGTTACAAAAAAAAGTATTACAATAACTAATCCCTTTTCGTCTTACTTCTGACATGTACAATGGAAATGTGCTTAATAGCAATTACAAATGATATTTATCATGTACTAAAACTATCACAACAATAACAACTTCAAGGATTTAAACTAAGCCATCCATATCTATTTTTGGGTTTGCAAATGTCGAAAGACGAAACAAGTCTGAGTTTAGCTATGCCATCCATATCCCTTTCTCACCTCTTCATCTCCATGAACTTCTTGCATTAGTATCTCATAGTCTTTTAATGAAGCCTCCCATCTTTCCAACTAAAATTGATAATCAGGAATTTCATAGACTAAGCTTAGATTGAACTGCATTTGAAGAGTGAAGAAATGTGATCAAATTTGTACCTTAGCATTTGGTGTGTGCCGAATTCACCAAAAATAAATACTAGCTGGATTATAATTTTTGTAGATAATGGAAACTAGGTCTATCCCACGAGGACAGCTAAATCACCTAATTTGTTGTTGACAGACTACCAGTTCAGACAAGGTGTCACTCAGGGGAATGAAAACGTTGACTCAGGGGAGTACAGACCAGGGGTGTTCATCTCCTCTTCCTGTTGCAGCAGTTGTAAATTGCACTTTAAT